TTGACACAGCATGCTTTTGCAGCTCAGAGTTCTAATCCCCAGTGATGGAACATGAAAATTCGGGCACTGGAGAAGCCCTCATTATCATCACAAAAGAGATGCCCTGAAAAAGGTCGGGTATTCAGCAGATGATACATCAAACCTCCGGGTAAGAAATCCCAGGTATTTCATCAGAATTCTTTTCAAACTACCTAGAAGGTAAATATGGTGTTCCTTTGAAAAAGAAAAGCATCTTGACTTGCTGGTCAAGATATTTCATACGATATTCAAGAATAGCCTCAGTTATCTATTTCTCCGATGAATACATGTGTCTTTGCACAAAAACTTGTCTGACAGGAGACACGCCCTTAAGAGGCAGGAACGTGCCCAGGTAAGTATATTTTACCCATGCCCGGTTCAAAAAATTCATGTACCTACAATTGTTATGGTACCCTTTGAACATAGGATTGACCCATTTGTTCACCCTCTGAACATCGGATTGACCCCTTTGTTCACCCTCTGAACATCGGATTGACCCCGTTGTTCACCCTCTGAACATAGGATTGACCCCGTTGTTCACCCTCTGAACATCGGATTGACCCCGTTGTTCACCCTCTGAGCATCGGATTGACCCCGTTGTTCACCCTCTGAGCATCGGATTGACCCCGTTGTTCACCCTCTGAGCATCGGATTGACCCCGTTGTTCACCCTCTGAACACCGGATTGACCCCGTTGTTCACCCTCTGAACACCGGATTGACCCCGTTGTTCACCCTCTGAGCATCGGATTGACCCCGTTGTTCACCCTCTGAACACCGGATTGACCCCGTTGTTCACCCTCTGAACACCGGATTGACCCCGTTGTTCACCCTCCTGAGCATGGGACTGACCCTCATGTTCACATCAAATCCTCGGGTGAGGACCCCCAGGTGCTCATCGTTTGAGCCTTTTCAAGACCTGCTGGCGAGGACCCACCAGGCAAACCAACAAATCCTCGGGCGAAGACCCCCAGGTGCTCATCGTTTGAGCCTTTTCAAGACCTACTGGCGAGGACCCACCAGGCAAACCATCAAATCCTCGGGCGAGGACCCCTAGGTATTTTGTCAAAACAAAATCCAGTCAGTCAAGGCGACCGAAGAAAGGTTCGGGTCCTAGACAGACAAAATCCAGTAAGTCAAGGCGACCGAAGAAAGGTTCGGGTCCTAGACAGACAAAAGCCAGTCAGTCAAGGCGACCGAAGAAAGGTTCGGGTCCTAGGCAAGCGATTTCCCCAGTCAAGGCGACCGAAGAAAGGTTCGGGTCCTAGACAAATGAAATCCAGTCAAGGCGACTGAAGATAGGTTCGGGTCCTAGGCAAGCGATTTCCCCAGTCAAGGCGACCGAAGAAAGGTTCGGGTCCTAGACAAATGAAATCCAGTCAAGGCGACCGAAGATAGGTTCGGGTCCTAGGCAAGCGATTTCCCCAGTCAAGGCGACCGAAGAAAGGTTCGGGTCCTAGACAAATGAAATCCAGTCAAGGCGACCGAAGATAGGTTCGGGTCCTACACAAACGATTTCCCCAGTCAAGGCGACAGAAGATAGGTTCGGGTCCTAGACAAACCATTTTTCCCGTCAAGGCGACCGAAGACAGGTTCGGGTCCTCGACACACAATATCAACTATCTGGAATTACTCTACCCTTCGGCAAGGTAAGTAGCCCCAGGTATGTTTTTATTTGCTTTAGCATGCATCATCTCATATCGCATCATAAAAATGGGACTCCGGTCTCGCCAAAAATAACATTCATTGAGCATACATGGGCCAAATTTAGGTGTCATTTTATCTTTGAACGTAAGCTCTGCGAGCTCAAACTCTGCGAGCTCACCTTCAAAGAGGGGCAGCTGTTGACACCTATTTTTAATTTGCCCAAAAATTAATTACACAAAATTTAGGAATTAATTTTCTTTAATTCCTAAAACAAAAAAATTTCTATTTAAATGCATTGCATATAGACATTAGGCATATTTGCATTAATAGGGTCTATTAGAGCATATTTTCTTAATTAATTTTCAAAAAATTAAAAAATTATTTATAAAAAAAAAAATCGGATCGGGCCGGGCCAAGGCCGGCCCAGCCCTCTTTTTCGTTTTTCTCCTCCTCCCCGCACGGGCCCCCGGCCCGCTTTTCTTTCCTTTTTCTTCCCCTCACGCGACAGGGCCTGGCCCGGCCCAGCTCTCCTCCTCCTTCCTTCTCCCCCCCGTCGCTCTCCTTCCCCTGTTCTGCCCTGTTGCTGACGCAGATCGGCGAGCGGCGGAGCAGCCTCGCCCCGTCCCTATCTGGCCAGAGCAGGGCCAGGGCAGCACGCCACCGGGACTGGCATTGATGGCCAGTCCCGTCTTCCCCGATTTCCCGGGCTCTCTTCCTCTCTTCCCTGTCTCTCTGCACACTCCACAGAATCGGCCCCCCCTCTGCACCGGCCTAATGGCCGCGAAAGTCATGGTAGGAGCAGAGGCCGGTGCAGAGCATTGAATGGAGCAGAGAATGGCGTCGTCGTCGTCGGATATACAGACCAGAGAGAGGAGAGAGAGAGGCGATTTTTCTCGGTCGGTTTTGAGCAGAGAGAAAACAGAGAGTCCGAGAAAGACCCAGAGAGAATTAGAGTGAAACAGAGAAGAGAGAGGAGCCTGGGAGCGTCTCGCAGGTCCCAGACGGTCTCGCCGTCTCCAGCAAGCTGACCGGCAACCCCCGGAAACACCCCCGGTCGGCCAATTTTGAGAGAAAACAGAGAGTCCGAGAGAGACCCAGAGAGAATTAGAGTGAAACAGAGAAGAGAGAGGAGCCTGGGAGCGTCTCGCAGGTCCCAGCCGGTCTCGCCGTCTCCAGCAAGCCGACCGGCAACCCCCGGAAACACCCCCGGTCGGCCATTTTTTAGAGAAAAACCGAGAGAGAGAGAGAGAGAACAGATAGAGAATAGAGAGAGAGAGGGAGCCGAGAGTCCGCCGGAGCTAAAGAAGAACCAGCAGCGGTCGTCGACGCCGCCAGACCTGCCGGAAGCCATCCAGACGCGCCATCGACCGGTGAGCCCCCCTCGGCCGAGAAGCTCCCCTGTTTTCCCCTGTTTTTTGCCTCGGTTTGGCCGGGACTCGCGCCGGCCGTTTCGCGCGAATCCCGGCCCATACCGTCGTCGGTCCCGATCCCTAATCGCCGTCGGAGGTGAACCCAAGCTTCCGGAGTCGACCGAATCGCCGGAGGAGGTCGGAATCCCTCGTTTTTCCACGCACCCGCCAGGCGTTCGACGAAATGCCTCAACCAGGCTGGTTTTTGTTTCATCGCCGCCGGCGAATCCGGTGGTCCGACGGTGGCTCGGGTGAGTGGTACAGCCCACAGGCGGTCCTAGTCGGGCGATTTGGGGGCGGCGCTGGCCTGGGTCAGCCGGCGGACGGTCAATTTTGGCCTCTCCGGCGTCCCCCTCCCCGCGGGTTTGTATGTTCGGGTCAGATTCGACCCGAATCAACAGATCCGACCCGGGTCAACGCCCGGGTCGGATCCGTTGACTCGGGTTGGTTCCGACCGAACCGGATTAACAGATCCGACCCGGGTCAACGCCTGGGTCGGATCCGTTGACCCGGGTGGGTTCCGACCCGGTCCGGATCCGCTCTTTTTTATTTTATTTTATTTTATTTTTGTATTTAAAAAAAATTTTAAAAAAATTTTTTCTTTTTTTTTCCTTCCCTTTTTTATTTATTTAAAAAAGGTTTCGTTTTTTATTTTTTTTTATTTTTTTCATGTGATATATTGTTGTTGTTTTAATCTAATGTGATATTATTTTGTAAGTTTTTGTCTTGTTTAAATTAAACAAGCCTGAGGTTGCGCGGTAGTATTTTGCATGTTAGTTTTTATTACCGTTGTATTGTTATGCATGTTTTTAATACAATTGCATGAGTGTTGTGTTTTTGAATGTCATCTGACTTAGTTAAGGTTAGAACCTTAGGCTACATGAATTGTTGTGTTCCTGACTGCTGATCGTTTCTGATTATGCACTCGCTTGATCACCTCACATGTTAGGAGAAAGGTCCTAAAATCAATCCAAATTGCCTGACAAATGTTTTCAAAAATGAACAGGGTAGAAAGGTACCGAAAGGGCATTAGTTATCTAACTAGTGTAACCAAGTCCCCGAACTCGGTTAATCTCTGGTTCGCAGGAATAGGGTGATTCTCCCATCACCCTATTTGGGTTTCTAATCGGCCCACCCCAAATCGATTAGTGGCGACTCCTTGATATAAATCATATGCATGTTAAGAAACTTAAACCCTAAGTCGCGATATGGTATGGGCTTGGGAGAGCCCGAGTTAAGTCCCAAACCTAGACTTAGCACGTACCAGGCGAGCCCCCCTTTTTTGCATGATGTTCGATATAAAAGGACACGGGAGTTCGGTTGCGACAGGGTTACATTAATTGAGATTGTTATTACCCGCTTGCGGGTTTGGTCTAATAAGTTTGGATATAAGGTTTCTTAATTAGTCGGATATGAGCCCGGCTTGTGTGGGCCGAGTTCGGCCCAGCCCGTTATGAGAGGGCCTGGCTGGAAACTCTATAAATAGAGCTGCAGATCCCTCCTCTGTACCCAATTCTCTCCAATCTCTCTCAAATGCTCTCAAACTCACCTAAGGCTTCCGTGAGTTGGCCGAGGCGGTCTCATAGCGCCGGGACTTCGGGGGCGACAGGGGAGAAGACCTACGGCACCGGATCGTCGTTATTTCCGCATCCAGAGACGATGGAATTCAAATCAGGTGCACAAATTCTATCCATCCTTTTACCGTACCATTAATATCTCGCTATGGTGATCCTAGGGCGCTCGGCCGAGCCATACGGGCCGGCCAACATCGTGCTCCAGGAAGGCGGATGCATGTTAAGGTTTTATTTTGAGAGGAGCTCTAACAAGCCTTGAAGTGTATAGGATAGGAGTGAAAGATGCAGCAGGTCAAAAACTTTGTTGTTTACCTTAAAGAGGAGTAATCACCTGTAAGAATGCAGGCGAACGCAAAAGCTTCTTCTTTTGTCTACCATGGTTCCGAAAACAAGGGGAACAATAGATGTGCTATCTAGGAAATTCCTATCAACAAGAAACCTGGAAAATTTGGTGATTGGTCCAACACCAGAAGAGGTTCAAGGACCTAGATGCCCATCTAAAAAGTAATGGATTAGACCCAGATTGTCTGAAAATTCGCCAATGCACAACTGAACGACTTTTTGTAGTTAATCAAGTTTTATTTAGTTGGACCGATTCTAAACGATGCAACTTATCTCTAGAGAAGCCTCTTCTGCAAAGACTTGAGGATGTCGTCTCCTGGTTGATTCAACCAAATCTCGACACTGCAAGTTGTCCTGATGCGAACTTAAACGGTCCAAAACCTCCTGCAAAATTGGTGTTATAACAGTATTAGAATATAGTCGAGATGTCTATAAACGATTACAGAGTGATTATGAATTTAATGTTTTCAAATATAACATAATTGTGAGCAGACTGATCTACAAGAGTGCTCAAAGCTTATAGCTGTTCTTTCAAGACATAAAATCCAAAGAGAAACAGCAGTTCACCTATTAAAAGCCTGAAGCATCCACTCTTGTGAACTGATAACCACTTTTCCTTCATAAATAGATAAGACATTGAATGGAAGCCGGAGATGCTCAACAAGCATTGAGTCACAACCATATAACCTACGGACCCATGGAACATGTGCAGTGAGACTCCCATGACTCTTCACTACGTTAAAGCTCCAGTTGACCCCAGTCCTCAACCATATCTTTAATTCGCTGCTAAGATTCCCCGTCTTCCAGTTCATCATTAATAAAGAGGAAATTTTCTTCGGTTACAGTGGAAATCTGGCAACAGTATAGTGTAACGATGTGAGAGTAGAGAGCGCTCGTTCGAACCTTTCAGCCTTTTCCATCACATTCTTCAACTTATGGCTTTGATATCTTTGTTCTACATCCCGCCATTCACAATGAATGACATGACGATGGGAATCTGCATAAAACAAGTTGCTCATGCGTTAGATAATCTTTTTGAGTTCATGCTGAATAAAGAAGGGACACGTACAGATATCGAAGAGACAATTAGATAGAGAAACTGTGGCAACAGGATTTGATATCAGCTTTGTTTATTCACATGTCATGAAGATTAGAAAAAGTTCCTCAGAATTTCAATTGTTAAAGAATAGCCCATAAGTCAAAAATGTTAGTTCTCTTTCTCAGAACTTTCAAGAGATCATTTTCATCCACCTTTTTTCCTATGCACCGATTGATATCATCGCTCTCTGAATTCCAATGATGTCAGGTTAATTTGAGCGCGAAAGTTTGGGAGCATTAAAATGCACGCTCACAACCTTGTTAATATACCTGCCGCAGCGTGAAGCGGTGTATTCTTGGAGGGGCTAAGTAGCCCAAGAAGGACGGGCAACGACACTCTTTCGTTGGCGCAATGATCCTCCAGGGCTCTGATGAACTCGTCACATCTCCTTTCTTCGCGGCCGAGTACAGCAGAGGATCCATAATCTTGTCGTGTTGTGCAGGATCGTGCTGTTGCTGGCTCGGGAAGGCCCGGTTTAGTGCTTCCAGTCTCTGCCTTCTGTGCTCCCACTTATCCTGGTCATCTATGGATAGCTTCACATCCATCTCTCCGTGCGTGACTATGCCTGTGACTTTGAGTGAATTGGCCTGGGGTCCTAGGACTCAAATTTAGCAGATTTATAGCGACAAGTCGAGTTCCACCTGATTGGCTTTAATGAACCTCCCCTCAACCCACATTTATATAGCGTGAAATTTCGAGTGTTTAGAATTGAAAAAATATCAAAATGCGTGCATTGCGAGATTTAGCTTCTCTTTTCTTTTTTTCTTTTTTTTTGTGGTGAGAACCATGTCCTATTTTTCTCTCTTTCTTGCAATTAATGTTAGAGTAGAGGTGGCGGACTTAAATTGTGCGAGCCCTCTGCACCAAGTTAAGCTTGGCTCTTTCCATGAGTAAAAGGAATTATAAAATATCTTCCGAATTAGGTTGGTCTTAGCTCGAGACTAATTGGGTCTGGTTGAGCCTGACACTATCCGCTTGGCTTGCAATCACATGACAATCCTTAAGAAAGATTGTCCAAGGCGATCCATTTCGACGTGGGTCTCGACTTATGAATCACTTTACGAATTTTCTTAACTCTAATGTGAAATTTTTTTTTTTGGTCAGAATAATGCGGGACTTGAGGTGTTGTAAAATTCCTTACTTAGAGTACTTATGGCATGTTTAGTGGGAAGGATAAATCCCTTACTTAATATAATTATGGCAAGTTTGGTACGAAGGATTATCCTTTTATCTTGCCACTTGCATCATCATCGCCTTCAGCAAAAGCAAGGCATCTCAGTTTTTTTGTTCGTCTGTCAAAGAATAATAAGGGCAATTATGGAGTTAATGGAATAGAGACAGAGAGTGCGGGAGGTTGAGCAACGCAAGCTCACAAGATCGCAGATTATAAGTTACAGCCGGAGAGGACAGAACTATCCAAAGGCCAAGAAAGGGCAATTTCGTACCTTTTTACCTGTGTTCATCTGTTCTGTGTTGCTAGGGTTCGGAAACAGCTGGGCTGAGATCATGGTGGGATTCAAGAACCGGTACATGGTGATGGAGGTCTTCTTGGATCCGAATAGAGAGCTCGGGGTCGATGACCCCATCATACTCACTCAATTCAACGTGTCCAAAGCGATAAGGGACAGCATCCTCGTCAACTTCGGGGAGTGCGGTCTCGCGTCGTCTCTCGGATCCTTTCAAGGTACTTAGTAGGTGTTGTTTGGTGGTTAATTTTCTTTGTTATTTTGCTACCAAGTTCCGTGATTCGGTCATTGCCAACCGTGTGATCCTTCGTGCAGTCAAGTATGTGAATCCCATCACGAAGCTCTGCATTGTCAGAGCTTCTAGGGAGGAGCACCAGAAGGTTTGGGCCGCAATCACCTTGGTCACCAGCGTCGGAAATTGCCCGGTGCTGTTTAATTTACTCGACTTGAGCGGTGAGTCATGCTAAGTGCAGAGCGGGATGTTGAATGCCGCAAGACTCGTCCTTTGCTTGTCCAGTCGAATCGTAGAATTTGTGCTGTATTCTGCTTCTAGTGATGGTAACTAGGTTAGGTTAGTATGATTGGCTTTTGCTGTGGTTGAGCTTAGACTAATATGCAAAGGCACGAAATTTTCTCTCGTGACTATCTTTGTAAGAATGCCTTGTCTCAATTCTCCTTGACAAGAGGAGAATAGCATCTGGACTGTGTTTTTCTACATGAGCCGCGGTAACTGAATCTTAAACTTTGAAAGCGTAATTCCAGTGCTGTTTTTGTGGAACTTTCATGTGTGGTTATTAGCTGGCATTTCTTTTTCGTCTGATCGTGGCATGTGTGATTATACGGTGGTAAGAGGGAAATCTTTTCCTGGAAGCTAATTGAGTGAGATCTCTATTGGTGCCAGGAAGTGTCAAGGCCTGTAAAAAGGCTGCCTTGAAGTGTGATGAGTTGAAATTTGAGCAGTACAAGCTTGTGCGTGGGTCTCGTCTCTCGCCTGAGGTGATCCAGCAGATGCACAACTGCCAAGAAAAGATAAAAATTTTGGAGCACTAGGAGCGCTGCATTTGTACAGTGTACGTGCCATTGACTGGTATGATCTTATGCACTTTTTGTTTTCTTTTTTCCTTGTCTTAGCTTTCGAGTTTCAGTGCAGTAGCATGTAATTTAAGCACCTGAGCTGAATCTCTAAATGGTGTACATGTTGGTTTGTTGGCAAGAATCTTGTCCTTGTTTCTTTGGAGTGTATATGAATGTCATGAAATTTTACTGGACAGCATGTGCGTTTGATATTCCAAATTAGACTATGGTGACTGAGGTTTCAAAAGTAGTTAAATTTGGTTTACCCACATATAACAGAATCTGCTTATTCGCAAGAGAAATGTATCTGTATGCATCTGTATTATATCTCATAAATTACTTATATATGACCGTTCTCAGTGCATTATTTGCCCGTTGATCTTATTATAACTTCTAGGCTTTATGTCTTATTCGATCTTCGATGTCACCGTCTTTACAGGTTTAATCTGAAGCAGCGCAAGTGAGAAACCCTTTTCAACTTTCAGCTTAAGGATCATGACTTTCCTTTTCTTCCCCAAGCCCCCCAAGCCCTCTTCTCTTGTAAATTCATATCCTGTACATCAGACATGCCAGGTGAGCTTTATGGCTTATACAACCGCGACTTGATATGCATGCCTAGACCTCATCTTGTCCATGGATAAAATCACCATTACTGAAAGTAGTGGACTCACAGCCAGTCGATTATACAGGGTCAATTGATCCGTGCGATCAGATTTCCTCCAAGGTTCAAGATTCAGTATGGAAGATAAAGCATTCACTGCTGAGTGAACCCGAAAGAAATATTGTTTGAGCACAAGTACAAAAGAATTGCTGGTACTGGTTATGGTGCTTGCAGGCATTATGCACCGGTCTTGACTTGAGTCTGATTGCTCTCAACTCCATGGGACAATTTTGGGGTATTCTCAAACAGTCTTTTTCTTGTTCTTATTTTTTTTTATGTTTTTGTTGGGGTTGGGGGTTTTCATGTTCTTTGACGATATGTTGTCTGCGAGTCTATCCAATTTGGCCACGCGGAAAGAACGGAATCAAATTCAGCAAGGACTATTTCAAGTATTAATTTTGTACGATATCGTATTACTGTGCTTGTGTGAAAACCATCGACGTCATTCACACACGCCCGATAAAGGTTCTATCTATTAAGGAAGGTCATGAAGGTGTCATTCATCTTTATTGTCCTCGTAGTCAAAGTCATTTATAATCAGATATGAGTTAATGATAGTCAGATCGGGTTTGCTTAATGTGATCTCTCTCATCCTTTTCACATTTTGAAACTCAAAGGAAAGTAGCAAGATGATTGGGGCTACTGAAGGGTTTCTTAGTGTCACTGTTTATGCCATGTCATCTGTATCATCTTTACGTTCCCACTTCTAAACTGGCATAGATGAACTACTCTGTTGGAGCTTAATAGTCTGCTACCTGTATCAATATAATTTAGTAATAGAAGTCATTATAGTATGTTGTAATGAGTTTATCTATTTGTTTCATTGGTTTTTATGATGTAATGGACTTAAAACCAAATCAAGAGAACATGAAAATGCTAGGAAGAATTTGTGCCGATTGTACATTTGCTGCTCTCAATGATGGTCTTTGACCCGCAGAGTTGTAAACTACTAAGCATGGGCAAAAATGCAGATGTTCCTCGAATTATGGAAAATACTATCAGCATCAGAATGAAAAGGAGTATAAAAACCAAATACAGAAAAAATGCAAGATATCTCCTCAAAACAGTTTGAGAAATCTCACTGAAACTATTTAGTAATGTAGACTAATAATCATCATGTTAATTGGACCACAGCACGTAATGAATAGTTCTCGTAACTGATTTGACCACTCAATTTTCAGTCCACAAAAGTAAATTAAAAGTAAATTAAAAGTAAAAATCGCACCCATAAGACAGCTATAGGGATAAATTAATTAATGATCCTTATTTAGTGAACAAAACCCTCTTTCCTATATGTAAATATATAAATATATAATATAATGTATATGAGATCATATATCATAGGTGTACATCAATAAATTAATAGGTAAATTGATAGCTTGAAAAAAACAAGAGAGCATATATCACCCTGCACAATTCTCTTAACCCTTATTTTATTATAACTAGAAACATTATATGTCAACAATGTAAAAGGGAAAAACAGATAAAATCATTAATTGGTGAGTTTACATTAATTGACCAATACATCATTAACATCCGAATTAATAAGGCAAACCGATGCTAATATATTCTCCTGAAAACATTATATTAAATTGAATGAAACAATTCACTTTCTTTTCTAAATAATGTAAACGTACGTGTCTAAACAATGTTAAGCAAAGCGAAAGGGAATAGAACTTTGTGATGATGCAATTCAATTACAAAACTCCATTCTGCCAAACTTTGCACTTATTTATTGATATCATCGGGTAGCTATTACAAAGTACTTTGGATCACTGAAATTGCAGACACCACAAATTTTGACCGCAAACAGGTAGGCTAGTCAAATCGAAACAGCAACAGCTGATGTAACTAAGAAGGAGCTAAAGGTATGGACATCGGTACATAATTAGCGAGAGATTAATAGGTTCAAAGCTGGATCAGACGCCATCTTTCTGGAACGTAAACGCTAAATGATCTATCCAAGTGGGGGGCGTAGGTTATCGTCACGAGTGCCCTGGACGGATGTAGCTGCAGGTCCCGCAATCCCACTCCCTGCGGTGTCTCCCCCTGATATTGAAAGACCCAAAAGAAGCAGTGTGCTGGTGAACCAACGAATGGGAGGATGTCTGTACCCAAGCGGTATATTTAACAACATGAAGATAACGAAGATAATGAGGAGGGTGACGGATCCCAAGACCAAGCCAAAAATAGAAAGCCAAGTGAGTTTGGATACTGTCACGTAGACGCCCGCCATGAATGCCAGAGGCATTGCCAAAAGAGTTGTCCACAATGGGAGAATTGACAAGAAAATGGCAATTTGCCCCACGGAAGGATCATGAACTCGGTACCAGAGGAGCACTGCGAGCGCCGTGATCGAGCTATACATGGCGATGGAGTTGCAAATCACAAAGACATTGTACATGGCTTTGTGGAGCAATATGGGGATTCCAGCATCTCCTTCAGAACCATTATATCCTCCGGGAACGGAAAAACCAGAAGTGAAAGTGACAGAGGCCACGAGTGCTAGCACGACCGCAAAAGAATCCGCTATGTCCTTATATCTCTTCAATCCCGTCAGTTCAGGTCGTTTCCGTGGGTGCCGGCCGGTTGTCTTGCAGATAGCTAATTCTCCACTTTTCCGTGTTCCGGCAGATACCAAAATTATCTTCGTAAACCTCTGCAAGAAGTGGATCGAAGAATTTAAAAAAAAAAAAAAAACAAACACATTATGATTTTGGCAACTAAATTATAGATGTGGGTGAGAGCAAACTGAATGACATGCCTATCTATTTTATGTTCTTGTTCTGTTCCTAATTGGTACAACAAATTATTACCCGTGAGAAAAGTGTAAAAGGTCGTACCTTCCCAAGGGGTTGAGGAATTACTTCATTGTCCTGCTCTACCTCGTCTAGAGCCGTCATGTTATTGTTGTTGACCAGCTCAAGATCAACTTTTTTGTTTCGTGCAAGAAACAGGACCGAAGGTTGGCAGTGCAACACAGCCAGATGCAGAGGTGTATTCCCGTCAAAATCTCTTGCATTTATAAGGTGACCAAATTTGGGATTCGCCAGTATGTATTTGACAGTTGCAGTGCTTCCGTGCCTCGCTGACACGTGAAGAATGTTTTGTCCTAGCCTAGCTGCAAACTCTGCGGGGTCTGTCCAATGCTGAAGTAGCTCCTTGACGATCCCGACACGATCCCTCATGCAGGCAACATGGATAGGGAGATAGCCCATCCCGTCTTGCTCCAGGGCGCTTGTTGGAAACTTCTTGATCAAGAACTTGACTCCATCGAGATAATTGTCGTACGCTGCGAAGTGGAGTGGAGTGCCGTCTCCCGCATCTCTCAATTGAAATAGCCACGGCTTCTTTTCCCACATCTTCTTCAGCATATCTAAATATAATGCAAGAAGTTAATCATTTGGGATGAACACGATGTCCATAATTCTTCAACAGTGGTTGATCCCGTTCTAGACAATCGAAAGTATCGGTAGTCGACTCACAATCTTGCCCCTTAGGATAGTAAGCTATCCTACCATATGTGCATTTGCCTCATTACTAGAACTTTTCTTGTGAAACTTGATTTTTCCACTAGTGAAACCAAAATGAAGAAAACAATAGACTGATTAGGAAGTTCAAAGAATAAGCAAGAGCGCGGAAGTAGGGTTTACCCATTTTCTTGTGCAGAATGGCAACATGAACAGGTGACATGCCGCAAACCCTTTGACTCTCTGATCTACTCTGGTCTTCGCCATCATTTGGCATTCTCAACAAGAGATCGAGAACCTCCGAGTCCCCTGTTTCGACTGCTAGGCACCATGGAGACTTGCTTTCCTTATTCTGATGATACAGCATATTGGGGTATTCACTCACCAGCCGACGGATCACCTCATAACGGCAACTCCTCACTGCTTCGTCCAAAGCGGAGTTGCCGCTGTGGTCAGTGCAAGTTGGGTTCCCCCGAGGAAGGAGAAGCTTCACTGCACCGGCTTTCCCGGCTCTAGCCGCAATGTGAAGCGGCGTCTCTCCTCTGGAGTTTTGACAGGAGATCAACTGCTTAGGGATGAAATCGATGACCGCTTTGACAATATCATCGCTGCTCTCTGAATTCCAATGATGTAACGTTAATTTGAGCGCGAAAGTTTGGGAACATTAAAATGCACGCTCACAACCTTGTTAATATACCTGCTGCAGCGTGAAGCAGTGTACTCTTGGAGGGGCTACGTAGCCCGAGAAGGACGGTCAACGACACTCTTTCCTTGACACAATGATCCTCCAGGGCTTTGATGAACTTGTCGACGTCCCCTTTCTTTACGACCGAGAATAGGTGGGGATCCACAATCTTGTCGGGTTGTGCAGGATCGTGCTGTCGCCAGCTCGGATCGGCCCCGACTAACGCTTCCAATCTCTCTCTTCTCTGCTTCCAAATCTCCTGGTCATCTATAGACAGCTTCACATCCATCTCTCCGTGCATGACTATGCCTGTGACTTCGAGTGAATTGGACTGGTGTCCTAGGACTCAAATTTAGCATATTTATAGCCACAAGTCGAGTTCAATCTGATTGGCTCCGATGAACCTCCCCTCAACCCACATTTAACCGACGGGTCCACTTTCTGCCACAAATTTTTCCTAAGGACGACCAGTAATAAGAAAGCAAAAAAAAGAAAATTAAAATTTTCCCCTTATTATATTATCACAATGTTGATGATCCGATTCATAACAAAGAAATTAGAGCTAGGTTGGATTTCTCTTCATTTTCTCCTTTGAATTGAAAGTTATTTGTCCACCTTTTCGTCAAAGTTTCAAATATTATTTCAAAATTTAAAAAAATTGGGAAAACAATGACATCGCTGTATGTGTCAATATTTGTATATTTGAAAACTGTTTTAGATACTTCACAATCAATAAAAATCAAATTGCAAAGCAACAGTTAATAAAAAAAGAAGAAGTAAAAAGACCAGAGTGCGTTCCCCTCAAGCAACCAAATTCCCTCATGAAACTGTCAAAAGAAAAAGGCTTAAAGCAGCGGTCCGCTCATTAGGACTCCAAGAAAGATTGTCCAAGGTGACACAATTCGATGCAAGTCTCGACTTATGAATCACTGTACAAATTCTCTGCACCAACCGGGACTTGTGGTGGTATAAATTCCTTCGTTAAAGTACTTATGGCGTGTTGGGTACAAAGGAATCAGTCCATTATCCTTTAAACTCGACATTTGCATCATCATCGCGTTACGCAAAAGCAACGCATCTCGGTTTTTTGTTCATCTATCAAAGAATAATATGGGCAATTATGAAGGTAATGGAAAATAGACAGAGAGGACTAAAAGGTTCGCAGATTATGAGCAATAGCGGGAGAAAACAGAACTATTCAAAGGCCAAAAAAGGTCAATACGGGTTAAAAGTGTTTTCCGAATGCTATTTGCATTTCATCGTGACCTTTTAGCCTAAAAGCATTTGCATTAAATGTAACGGCAATTCCCAAAACCTCTCCGAAACGCACCCAACCGCAAAAAACAAATAAGTATGACAGGCGCAAATGCAAGTGAAATTCGTGTGAAATAAATATTTGATGATATTGACTGGGTTAGGCGATACTGGAGAGTAATAGTCTTTTATTGTAGAAGCAGAAGAACGTGGTCTCTTGCAGGCAATTACGTGGCTTCTGAACTTTTTTTAAAGCCCCCTTAGCGACTATCAATATGTGCATCTCTAGATAATCGCCTTCGTGGGTTCATTGAGCAGTGATAATAATATGTTTCCGTTGCCAAAAAAAAAAAAACAAGCAATCGATATATAAAATAAAAAGAACAAAAAATTCACGTAATATTGTATTTACGTAGCTCAGCCGGTGTGATCTACTTTACGAGGAAAGCAGCATATGAGTATACCTTAGATCAAGCGAAACTGTGGAGATTAGAATTATACTCAAGTCATTCAAACGCTCTCGATTTTTTTAGCCACAAATTACACCCAATAATGCACATGTTTTTAACCCTCACAACTCCTTACAAACTCACAATCACCCAAAAGAATTCACAAATCTTACCAGAAGATTCACTGGCTTGAACACTCTCGTCTCTCATATTCAATTCACGAGCACACCTCGCAATCGATCGTTATGGCCAAAGCTCCTCTACTAACCAATAGGAAAAAATGCACTTATAATCTTTGGATCTAAATTAAGAAACCCTCTTTAGTTGTCTCAAATGAGAAAACTCACTTGAAGTAGAAATCCATCTCCAACGTGGAAAGCATTTCAATGTTCGAGCTTAAAACCACAGGTCATATTTGGATTTCGAATTCCTACTTGAATTGAGTAGTTTTTACATGCTCCAACTCAAGACATATTTTTAACAATCTTCGCATTAGCTCGACAAGTGACAATCACTTCGCTAGAACCTTATCATCGTTACTCTCCCACATCCCCGTATGGCCTCAATTCCCCACAAAGAACTTCCAAGTCCTAGCTGCACTTGAACTTTGCCATAACAGTGAACCTCATCAGAACACAAATTCACCCGTACCTCTAGCCACTCTACAAGCATTCTCAGACAAATCTCCTTTATCGCATATATAACAAAAACCATTGTCGCATGTAACAAGCTCAACAATTGAGCCAAGTAACAATCACTTCGCTAGAACCTAATCATCATTACTCTCCCACATCCCCGTATGGCCTCAATCCCCCACAAAGAACTTCCAAGTCCAAATTGCACTTGAACTTTGCCATAACAGTGAACCTCATCGAAACACAAATTCCACCCTCACCTCTAGCCACTCCACAAGCATTCTCAGACAAATCTCCTTTATCGCACATATAGCAAAAACCACTGTTGCATCCATATTTGTTACAAGCTCGAACGTGCATATTGTCAATTAGTAGTTATATCAATCATTGGCTCTATAGGCTCCACCTCGCTACAAATATCATCCGTATCGATTACCGTGCCACGACCTACTAACTCAAGAGTTTAGGTTGCAACTCCACTTTGAGTAGAACACTGTCCAGATTTGTATACACACTGTCATAATCTCTCCTACCCAAAAGTACTAAAGACTTGTCAAATGTAACTTTTTTGCTGACAATTGGTAAATTTAATACTTGGCACTATAACCGATAGCCCCACTTACCTTATGTATAGCGTAGGAATATATTGTTGAGAAAACCTTCCTATGTTTTTTGGGGATGACAAAGTAATCCAACATTACTAGCAAGCATTTCATTTCTTGATAGATTTAGATTGTATCGTAAACATGTTCGTTAAAACCAAAAGTGCTATGTCACTATTAAGGGTGAACAAGGTATTGGATGCCAAGGTTCCTAAAAGTTGAATGGACCTTGAACAGGTCCTGTAGGAGTTTGTGCGGTTGCACAAACAGCTTAGTAGAAAGAATTTGTGCCGATCGTACATTCGATGCTCTCAATGATGGTCTTTGACACACGGAGTTGTAAACTTATAAGCACGTGCAAAAAATGCGGACGTTCCTCGAATTATGGAAATACTATTAGCGTCAGAATGAAAAGGAGTATTAAAACCAAATATAGAAAAATGCAAGATATCTCCTCAAAACAGTTTGAGAAATCTCACTGAAACAATTTAGTAAATGTAGACTAAATAGTCATCATGATAAGTGGACCACAACACGTAATGGATAGTTCTCATAACTCATTTGACCTCTCAATTTTCAGTCCACAAAAGCAAATGAAAAGTGAAAATAGCACCCATAAGACCGCTATAGAAATAAATTAACTAATGATCCTTATTTAGTGAACAAAACCCTCTTTCCTATATGTAAATATATAAATATATATCTTATGTGTATATGAGATCATATATCATAGGTGTACATCAATAAATTTATAGGTAAATTGATAGCTTAAAAAAAAAACGAGAGTCGATATTACCCAAAGACATTGGACCTCTCAATTTTCAGTCCACAAAAGCAAATGAAAAGTGAAAACAGCACCCATAAGACAGCTATAGAAATAAATTAACTATTGATCCTTATTAAATGAACAAAACCCTCTTTCCTATATGTAAATATATAAACATATATGTTATGTGTATATGAGATCATACATCAGAGGTGTACATCAATAAATTTATAGGTAAATTGATAGCTTAAAAAAAGAGAGTAGATATTACCGTACACAATTCTCTTAATCCTTATTTTATTATAACTAGAAGCATTATACGTCAATAATATAAAAGAGAAAAACAGGTAAAATAATTAATTGAATCGTCTCATTCAATTTAATAGAATGTTTCCAGGAGAATATATCAGCAAAACGTGTGTCTAACTAATGTTAAGCAAAGTGAAAGGGAATGGAACTTTGTGACAATGCGATTCAATTACAAAACTTCCTTCTGCCAAACTTTGCTATTATTTATAGATATCATTGAGTAGCTAATCACAAAGTATTTTGGATCGCTAAAATTGCAGACATCACTAATTTTGACCGTGAGCAGGTAGGCTAGCCTAATCGAAACAGCAGCAGCTGATGTAACAAAGGCTAAGAGGGTGCTAAAGGTACAGACATCTGTACATAATTAGAGAGAGATTAATAGATTCTAGGCTGGATCAGACCCCATCTTTATGGAACCTATACGTTAAATGATCTATTCAAGTGGGGGCAGTTGGTTATCGTCACAAGTGCCCCGGATGGATGTAGCTGCACGTCCCGCAGTCCCACTCCCTGCGGTCCCCCTCCTCTCTATCGCAAGAATTACAAAAGTAAGTCCGTCCATGAAGAAACGAATAAGAGGATGTCTCCTGACCGGAAAAAAAATTCAACAAAATGAAGATGCTCAAGATAATGTAGAAGGCGAAGGATCCAAAGACCAAGACAAAAATTGAAAGCCCAGCGAGTTTGGTTACGGTCACGTAGACGCCCACCATGAATGCCAGAGGCATTGCGGCAAGAGTAACCAACATTGGGAGATTTGATAGGAAATAGGCAACCACCATCAAGTAAGGATCATTAACATGTGTCCCGAGTAGGATCACGAGTGCCATGATCGAGCTATACTTGGTCACGGAGTTGCTAATCACAAAGACATTGTACATGGCTTTGTGTAGCAATATGGGGATTTCAGCATCTGGGTTAGACCATTATATCCTCCGGGAACAGAAAAATCAGAAGCGAAAGTGACTGAGGCGATGAGCGCTGCCACAACAATGCGAGTACCTACTCTGTCCTTGTATTTATCCGGTTCCGGCGGTCCAATTTGTTTCCGTGGGCTCCGTCTGGTTGGCTTGCAAATAGCTAATTCTCCATTTCTCGCTGTTCCAGCAAATTCCAAATTTGTCAATGTTAACCACTGCAAGTAGTGAGTCAAAGAATAAACAAAGAAACCAACACATCATGATTTTGGCACTAAATTACAGATCTAGGTGAGAGCACACTAATTTACACGCTTCACTAATTTTATGTTCTAGTTCTGTCCCGATAGTTAT